TCCTCAAAGCACTATATCTGCTTGATCGATGAGTTATAAATCTATATCCGTAATATCTACATCAGTATATGCAGTAGTGTGTGTGTGTGTGTCTGTGTGTGTGTGTGTGTGTGTGTGTGTAAAAAGTAGGATCAATTGATAGATCGTGGCATACTGTCATACAATCAGCTTTTGTCGAATAAGGAGCTGGCTATCTTGACTGATAGACAGTGTTCATTTACCTCATTAAACAAAATGTGCTTTGTTTGATTTGCTAAGTGTTTCAGAATTTGTCACAGGATTGCAGTCTGTTAACTATGATTTATCATTTAGGATGTCAAGTGAACTTGGCCAACAGTATTTAATAGATAGTAAAATAAACTATGGTTTAATATGCTACATGATTCCAACCATAATGTGTCACTGTAATAATAATTATCCCACACTGATTCAGAATTTTACATATAGAATGGAATTCTAACTTTAAAGGGACAAAGTGGCTAATGACAACTCATACCTGTACAATCAGCACACACCCACCCACCCAAGGCTGTGTGCTATCTCCACTTCTCTTCTCCCTATATACCAATGACTGCATCTCAAACGATCCATCTGTTAAAATACTGAAGTTTACTGATGACATAACAATGATTGGTCTCATTTGAGACAACGATGAATCTGCATACAGACAGGAGGTTATAGAACTTGCCTCGTGGTGTAACTGGAACAATCTGGAACTGAACACACTCAAAACCGTAGAAATGTTGGTAGACTTTAGAAGAAACCCTCCCATACTACCACCTCTTACAATACTAGACAACACAGTATCAACAGTAGAGACCTTCAAATTTCTAGGTTCTACTATATCACATGACCTAAATAGACACCAAACATCAAAAACGTCATCAAAAAAGCACAACAAAGAATGTTCTTTCTGCGCCAACCCAGAAAGCTCAAACTGCCCAAGGAGCTGCTGATACAGTTCCACAGAGGAATTATTGAGTCTATCATCTGCACCTCTATAACTGTCTGGTTTGGTTCTGCAACCCAACAGGACAGACACAGACGTCAGAGGATAATTAGGACTGCAGAAAAAACAATTACTACCCACCTGCCTTCAATTGAGGACCTGTATACTGTACGAGTCACAAAGAGGGCTGTGAAAATATTTACAGACTTCTCACATCCTGGACATAAACTGTTTCAACTCCTTCCCTCAAAATGACGCTATAGAGCACTGTATACCAGAACAACTAGACACAAGAACAGTTTTTTCCCAAAAGCCATCACTCTGCTAAACAAATAATTCCCTCAACACTGTTCAACTATTTACAAAGTGTGCACTACTATTACTGTTAATCTTCTCATCACTCCTTATCACCCATCCCCTCCCACTTGTGATTGTAGGATTGTAACCTTGTCGGTTTTAACCTTATGATTTATGTTGACTGTTTCCTAGTATGATTTGATTGTTGATTGTACCCTATGACTATCATTAAGTGTTGTACGTTATGATTCTTGATTCTTAACGAATGTATATACCTTTTCTTTACATATACTGAGAGTATTTACACCAAGTCAAATTCCTTGTGTGTCCAATCACACTTGGCCAATAAAAAGTATTCTATTGAAAACGCCTTTCAATTTCCACAGAGTGGCCCAGGCCAAATTAAGAAGCATGAAACTAAGATGTATTTTGTTAGGTTTCCTTTTTCTCTTCCAAAGACATGTATCTTCTTTTCCTTTCCCTTGTAATTAGGATAAGGAGATTTCATTGCCAGTTTTGCTTTGGACACAATTTCAGACAATATGGGGAAGCCTTTAAATAAATGTCTTGCTTTTTAGAAGAATATGTACCTCTCTGGGTTCCCTGGGAACTACTAAAGTAGGTTTGTGAAACACTTCTCCAAATGGTTTACAGAACTCTGGTAATGATCGAAATTAGAATTATCCAGACCTTGGAACTATATCAATTTCTATTCCACCAGACAAACAGTATTACCAATTTCCTTCCTTCTACAGCAGGCAACAGCTGTTGTAAACATTAAACTTCATCTTATTTGGAATGAGTATCCTCAATTCTTTGAGATATCCACAATGTTATCTTTAATGCAGCATGATTAAAATTTAAAGATAATTCTACAAAATGAAGGAAAAATTACTAAATAGCCAAAAGCATGGGACTGCCTCTTTTTTGTTGTGTAATTGTGTAATTATATACAGTAGGCCAGGATCTCCCCACCAGTTTATCAAAAGTAAAGGTAGTCCTCAACTTACAACAGTTCACTTAATGACCATTTGAAGTTGCAAAAGCACTGAAAAAATGACTTGTGGCCATTTTTCACACTTACAACTGTTGCGGCATCCCCATGGTCACATGATTTACATTCAGGACATTTGACAACTGACTCACATTTATGATGGTTGTAGCCTCCCAAAATCATGTGATCACCTTCTCTAATCTTTTGACAAGCAAAGTCATTGGGAAACCAGATTCATTTAACAACCGTGTTACTAATTTAACAACTGCAGTGATTCATTTGACAAAAGTGGCAAGAAAAGTAAAATGGGGCAAAATTCACTTAACAAATTTCTTCCTTAGCAACATGAATTTTGGGCTCAATTGTGGTCATAATTTGAGGATTAACTGTAATTTATGTCTGTCACCTAATTTAAACTTCTGCTACTTCATAGCCACCTCACCACAAAGATCTATGATACTCTTCGAATTCTAGAAGATTGCCATAGCAATCTTAAAATTGGGGAATGTTTCCTAGAGAAAGGAGTTCCTAAATACTATCTTGACTCTCACCATGATGGTTTCCTATACAAGTTCAGAGTCTAACATGCCTAGCCGCTTAGCTGTTATCATCCCATGTTCTCTGAGGAACCAACATTGTGAAGTATGAAAAATGCCACTCCAGAGGCATTCTTTCTTATGCACATACAAAAGAGACAGAGCTTGCATTGTGATGGCATATTGGCTCCTTCTTGTTATTTGTATGGATACTTGTGACAATTACCCTACCATAAATTTAGATTATGGATGAATTCTTCTTGATTAATTTTTATCTATCTTGTGTTCTCTACATTTATTTTTTTTCTTCAGATGATTTTACCACAGGACAGTAAAAAGGCAAGGAACATTCTGACAAAGCCCACAGAAATTTATGAGTTATGCTAGCTGGTTTCTGCATGTGATTCTCTAAACAGGAAATTAATCTTTTTAAAGATTAAATTGATAAATCTTCTGATCCAATCTGTTATTGCCTTTAAAGTTGCCTTTGAAAGTGGACATTCAGAAATATTTTGGCTTATACAAACACTGAACAAAGTTCAATTTTTCTTGTCATGAATACTTACAAAAAGCACTAATCTAGAGATTCATTCTACCATGTATGAATGAATAACACAAATAACACAACATTAGTAAATAAGGGCTGATAAAGGCTGAATTCATACATAATCTGAAACTAGAATTTTTAAAACCATGTCTTATTGAACAAGCCATTGTGACTTGGTTGTATACAACACTAAACCAGAACGACAATTTTACTAAACACTAAAAAGCAAACATGTAAATTATAATTTATTATTATGTGTAAACCCAGCAAAGAATTGGAAAAGGTCACATAGAAACCAAATCTAAAGGTTCAGTATGCAATTTGATTCACAATTATTTTCTCCTTAAATAATACCTAATTTTGATAATCTCAATCCTGAAATCTTATTTGTAAATATTACAGTTTTCCCACTAAATAAATCAAGGTATACATTAGCTTCTTTTAGTTCTTTTCAAATTAACTGAATAACATGGAATGAGATAAGCATATGTATCTTCACTTTTCTACTTTTTTGAAATCATTGAACACTAGCTAAAAGGTAGATGACAAGTCCTTTCAAATATATAAGATCTAAACAACAGATTTGATAAATAGCAAAACAGCCTACCTATTAAACCACTTCACAAGTAAAGTACCCAGTCAGTTGTCAGCATGCCACCGTGTGTGTACACAGGCACGTTTGGACATATATGGACCTATAAAGATCTAATAGGTTCTTCCTTCTGCCTTGAAATATGAAAACAAAGAACATAATATTGCATTTGCTAGCACCACTATTTTGTGTGTTCTTCTCATGTTTTCATGAACATGTTTTATATCCTGCTCAGTAGATTATTAATTCTCAAATTATTTAATGCCAAACTATCAATTTAATGATGTATTGATGTGATAGTGGCAAGTCAGTAGTTAAAAGAAAGATATGCTATCCATAGAAAGTTACAATATTAATAAGTCCTATTGACAGAATAGCAATTCAGGAAACTTTTTCTACAATTCTGCAATTGCTAAAGTAAGTGAGAATGTATTTTTAATATAACAAGTACAGAGTTACAGCTTTTTTCCTGGAATCTATATATCCACACAATTAAAATAAATTTTTTTTGACTACCACTGTTTTTATGACATGTTGGATTTGTGCGTTTGTGAGGTAATATGAAGTAGAAGAAGCTTTGCTAAGTAGTGCATGTATGAACCAAGAAAAGATGATAAGGAATTGAGACCAATGATATGAAGACTAAGAATACAAAATATAACATTTGAATCAGAGAAGAAAACTTCAACCTGAGCAATGGCTTTTGTGTATATGTTAACTATTAAAACTGAATTTCCAAATTCTCTCCCAATATATTATAATTAGTTTCAAGTAAAACATAAACAGACAAACCAAATTTCAGTTATTTTACATCGGCCTTAAATATGAACCTTCTTATGAAGACACATAGATGCTTTGAGTCAAGTAAAATTAACTTGGTTCAAGTGCAAAATTCTCTGAGAAGGACAAAAATGATATTTAATTCCTCACAGTAACACTATTGCCCATTAATGAGTAAGCAGTTGAGGTATATGCTTGAAGGCCTTGGTTATCTGAGCTGTTTAAGGTTTAACTATGTTTATTTTAAAGTTCCAAAATACCACAGAGCTAAATAAGAGAGAAAGCAAAAAATAAAATAAGTTTACCTCTCTGTTGTGCAGGTGTGGGATGGTCTTGGGAAGTATTTCTTCCCCCATCCTGTTCTTTTATTTTCCCCTTATTTCCTCTGTTTGTTCAAAGCTTCTGACCAGGCAAGAATACACTGCTTGGGAGTATAAAAATCCAAGTTCCAGCTTAGCTTAGTGTCAAGAGTCCTATGTGGCCTGCTGTAAAGGCTGGGGGGGCGGGGGGGGAGTTGAGGGAGGAGAGGAAGAGAGGGTGGGGAGAGCGGGTGTTTAGGGAGACAAAGCAATCAAGGTTTAAATTTAGACGCAAAACTAAACAGATACTGCCTTTCCAGGAGTGAGGGGAGAGAAGAGAGAGCAAGAGAAAATTGGTTATGCACCCTATTTTTGCCTTTCTCGTTATTTCTCAAGTTTCTACTTCCTCTTCTTACTACATCTTTTTTTTTCCGGTAAAAGCTTTTGTTCTAGTATTTTTCCATAGTTTTCTGGATCTCTCTTCTTTAACCCAACAAGCAAAAGAGGAGGCTATTTACCCGTTTAAAGTATTAAGGCAATGTTAAGGCCACATTCCAGAACCATAATCCAATAGATGAGGCATAAGGCTTTTAGCAAGCCATCTTTTAATTGTCACAGATTGTATACAGATACTTTAAAAGAGGATAAGGTCCAGTAGAGAACCTCTACATTTTGGCATGGCAATATTAATTGCCTTTTGTTGCAGATGTTTATATTTGCAAATCCTGTAAATTGGTGTTCTATAAACTGTCCTTTTAGGCCAGTAGCTTTTCTGTGTCTTCCAGTTTTGTTGATTTATAGCTCTCATAATTTCTCACCAACACAGCAAAAGGTCATGCTATGTGAATTGTAACCACACATATCAGGAGGGTGCCAGATTGGGAAAGACTAACTTTAAAGAGACAGAAGGAAACATGCCAAGTTATGTTTAATACTTTCTGCACCCGTGCCAAATCAGCTGTCACTCCAGCAAATCAACTTCCAGAATGGAATCAGGAGAACGCCAGAAAGGTTTCTCTTGTCTGTCCAGCCCTAACATTGTTTTCCACTGGTATAAGAAACAATGTAACCTCTATGTTTTCTTCCTTGTCTGTCTGATTGAAAAAAAGGAAGTATCATTTTAAAAGTATTTGCTGAACTTTTAAAAATTTTGAGCCTGAATCATTACAATTCTGTTTAGTGGTGGCACTTTAATCATAACTTAAGAAATAGCTACCTTTTCTGCAAAGAAATTAGGTTAATTAAGGCCATTTCTGCAATTAAGGCATCACTCAGTTTTTAGGTCAATAAATTACTAGTGATTTATTGCCTTGGTGATGTGTGGTGACATTAGGACCAATCAGAAGAAGGAATGAAAGAGAGCCACTTAACCTTTCCTCAAACTTAAAGGAATCTCAAATGTGGGCATTGACTATTCTATTGTAGAAAGTTAGTACCCATCCCCCCTCCTAGAAGAAATAAATATTTTGAGAAGTATTAAAAAGACAGAATATTATATTTCTCTAAATGAGAAATGGAGAAACATGTTTTTTTTAAGAGGCAGGAAGCAGATTCACTCTTAATAATCCTCACCTTTCTTAACAGCCCTCAGCAGATTTCATCAGTACTTAAGAGATGAAGAGATAGATAGCTCTATTCATAAGCAAACACCCTTACCCAAGTTCCAACAAAGGTAGGATTAGCCCTCAGCCACAATGGGAATTGCCCAAAGCCCCTTCAGTGCATCACCCTCAGAAACCTCAACCAAACTTAGCTCAGACAAACTCCTAGGATTTGTACCTGGCCCCATGGGAGTCTGACAACAGCCAATAGAATACATGTTCTTGAACAAGAAGCTCAAGTGCAAAGCCCAATAGAAGGTATAAATACCCCCCACTCTCAACTCCATTTGTCAGCTGCATCAAAACCACAAACACATACTTCTGTTCATAAATAACTGGACCCTCTTTCCAATCAGCCTCCAGTCCCCTTTTTGTCTCCAGTGCCTTTCTCCGGTTTGGAACTGAACTAGATGGATATTTCTTCCAAAAACTATGTTTTAATATATTCAAATTTTATATTCACACTTTTAAAATACTATGTTTTGTTTTCATGTGTGCATCATACAAATAATAGCTATGGCTGCTAAACAGGAAGTAGATATTTCTGTAGTTCTCGTAACATTTAATGGCATGCAAGCAGTTTGGTGGGGGTGGGGTGGTGTATACTTTTCGTCATTCCTGCAACTGTCTTTCTGGCAAATATATATCTGATTTCAAAGTACAAGAGAATTTTCACAGATGCAGTTGTATGTGCACTTCTTCTGAGGTTTTATTTTGATTTAAATCCAAATAGTCTCTGAGGATCCTAGGATTCTCCACCAGACTAAAAAAGGCAAAGGAGGATTACATGATGAGAAGAGAGGGTCAGTGAATAAATATAGCTAGGATGTCAGTAAACACATCTCCAGTGAGGACAAATATCTTACAGGAGGAAATGATAAATATATCCTTTGGTAGCTGCTTCCAAATGAAACATCTCAGTGTTTCTTTTTATTACAAAAGAATACAAGCAATGCCAGAAAATTGCAGAAGGATCCTTTCTGTCAGGTTGGGCCTAGACTTTCTGCAGATATGTATGCTCTATAGATGATGATAGTTGCAAGAAAATGAAAAAGGTGTTCTTTTTTTCCCCCAACATAGTTTACATGGCATCAGGAAAATGGTGAATATGATATTATTTCTTCCCAATAGATTCTTTTACTAAACCTCAGAACACAAACAGAAAGAAGCAGAAATGGAACAGCTGTGAAATAAAGCCAATTCAGTTGAGCAATCTTATCTGCTCTCATGGTCTGATTTTTGGTTACTGTACCCACTTTAGCCTATTTACTTAGGGGACCTTTGGTCCATTAGGTTTGTGATCTAACAGAATAACAGAGTTGGAAGGGACCTTGGAGGTCTTCTAAACACCTACTCAAGCAGGAGATTCTATATTATGTATGACGTTACTGTCCAAACTCTACTTAAAAACCTCCAGTGATGGAGGCAAGCACTTCCACTAATTAATTTTTCTCACTGTCAGGAAGTTTCACCTTAGTTCTAGGTTGGATTTCTTTTTGATTAATTTCCATAAGTTGCTTCTTGTCATGCTTTCAGGAATTTTAGAGAATAGGTTGACTTCCTTTTCTTTGTGGTAGCACCTTAGATATTGGAAGACTGCTACCATGTCATCACTACTCCTTCTCTTCATTAGACTTATTGTATTCTTTAAGCAATAGAAATCTAATCAGTGTATCAGCAAGTTTGCAGCTGGGTGTTTCTCCCATGTTGTTAACCATGTTTGTAGACAGAGGGGAGAAAGGGAAATGGATTTGGATTTTAGGAAAAAAATGAACCTTTGGGGGGGGGGCGGTTGGGGGGGACACAGGAATGAGTTAGGGACTGTTTGAACTAGGAATAGAGCAAAGGGAATGAGACCATCAAGTGACCATTCAGCTGAAGCATTAAGGAGAATAAATCTAGTCTTGTTCCTTTTTTAAAGTACATCAGTTCAGAAAAAGAAACAAAGTTAACTGAGATCCAATAGTGCCAGAGATGGCTTCAAACTGGCTTAAAGTTATCATTAGATGTGGCCTAAAGTTAAGTTGGACAGGTATCAAAGGCTGGTCCGATTGCAGTGGTGCTTATAATTAATATCAAAAGGATATTGGTGTATAGTGGCCCAGACATTACATCAGAGATAGCAATATAGATTCTGAAATTTAGAAACTGCACAGTTTATGTGAAAATGTTGTTCTATATTTAACTCAGTGGACAAAAGAGAATATGGAATTTCTTTTTCCCTGCAATAAACCTTTCAGGAAATCACAATGATTAAAACTGATGAGTTTCCTCCCCCAAAAAATTTCTTATTGTACTTTCCTATTCTTCCATTATGTTTTTACACAATAGGCCAAATAATTCTAACTCTGTTACAACAAAAAGCTGCAAATGTTCACAACACACATTAATCCAGTGCATATTTCACTTCACACAATCATGTTTATTTGGGGTAAAAGTATAAAAATATATCGTGAGCTCAACTGGTATGTTTCTGAAATAGTATAACAGTCATTAAACTTGGAAATCATACCGTATTGGATAAGGTTTTAAGCAAGGGTACATCAGCTGCAATGTTGAGAGCATTTGCCAACAGCAGAACTACTAAGTTATCTGTTGAAAAAGAAGGGAGCAATTTTTTAGGGTTCTCCTGTGGTTCTGCATTGTTGCCAAGAAAAGTCATCATTGCCATGAAGTCACCAGATTCGAGCTTAACTGCGAGGAACCTCACTTTTATAGAAGATGTAGTAAGAGAAAGAGCTTTGTATTTTTCAGCTTCATGAACTCAGAAGCCAACATCCTGTTTTGACCTGAGTGTTGTAAGTCTTTAAACTTTCTCAGATAATCCCAACAGGAAATGAATATAGGCTGTTCCTTGTATGATAAATTTGCTTTTTGACTCAAAAGATTAGATAAGAGCATCTTTAAAAAAAACTTCCTTTCTTTCTATGGATTTATCTGAACAAAATGAGGCTAGTAGAGATACGTTAGAAAATTTTGCTGCTTTTGAGCAACTGCTTTTAAGTTCATTTGAACATAGTAATTCTACAGTACATGACAGATTCCTGAAATGTAATTTTGAAGGAACCAGGTTACTTACAAGAGAAAGCTGTCCTTAGAACTAAATACATAGTTTGCATATAATGTGTTCTCACCCAATTTAGTGTACAGTGAGGCTTTTTCTGCTCTAAAAAGCATATTACTTTTACACCAGCATATTAAAGAGGAACTCTGAATACCATACTGTAGTTTTCTCCCATCTAACTGTTTCTGTTGACTCTGTTGAAACTGCAGTTTTCAGAATTTATAGCCAGAAAGATGTTTGGCTGTACTCACTGCATATGTGGGAACATATCTATTTTTTAATTGAATAATGTTTGTTCAACTAATTATGAAAGAAGATGAAATGTTTGCTGTAGATGATTACAATGGTAATACTAACTCTTAAATATGAAGTTTTCACACAAGAGTGTATTAGAGTTCAATTTTATCTGTCAAATAATTGCAAAAAGCTATTTGAAAAGGTTATTTACCAACTATCACATGCACATAATTTGTCCAACTAACCATAAATAGTGATCAGACAGGTGTAGATATTAATGAAATGACACTTAAAGAGGAAGTTGATATAGTTTAT